CCCCCCCCCCCCGCCACCCCATACCCTCTTAGTCTCAAAGAGATACTTAGAGATCTGAGGACCTGTCATTTATACAGTGTGTCCTTAGGAACATATTGTCAGCACAGCTGCCTCCTGTTGGTGAGCTGTGTCCATTGCCCTGTCCTGCCCAGTCCTAGTTGGTCAATGGCAAAGAACAGAAGTTCAGGAGAGGAGCCTCTCTGGGGACAGCCTCTCATGGGTGCTACAACAGAAGCACTTGCCTATTCTTGTTGACTGATCCTTTTTTCATCTTGATTTCCAAATCCAGAAATTCCCAGAAGTCTTCCAACAAGACCCACAACTACATGGAGACCCACAACTCCAGGAAAGCCCACAACTCCAGGAAGGCCTACGACTATTTCAATAAGACCCACACATGTACCAACATCATCCCGAGTCTCCACTTCTAGTTCTACAACACCAGCACATACACAAACTCACATAGCAGGTACAACCCAGTGTGGTTCAGGACGCAGAGTCCTTCTCATGAGAGTCGGTATGTCATAGACACTGAGTCAAGTCAGAAGTATAATATAGGTGAAGAGTTCTTACCTGGGCCCAACAGTAGTCACATGAACTGACAGAGTCAGAAAGCTCATGGTAGAAGTTATGAAGACAGAAAGTGGCTCAGACTCTGTCCTTGTTCACTTGGGTTGGAAGCTGGCTCTTCTGACTCCAGGGTCAGACCTCTGCCATGAGCATGGATGTTTGGAGGGTTTGTAATGTTTCCAGTCCTCAATGGAAAGGGACCCCAACACCACCCTTTTAAAGAAGCAATGGATGGCTTATAAAGTTTACTTTAAGGATCTCTCAATTTATTCATGTAAATGAAAAGTACAATATAAGTTCTTTGTAGGGATGAAACACACATGTGCGCGTGCGCGCGCACACACACACACACACACACACACACACACACACACACATCGAATTTGAAGGCTTTAGGAAATGATTTAACATGCTCATGCTTTTGAGTGAGGCCATGTAGTTTAAATCTCAAATTGCCCACCGGTAAAGTTAATATTAATACATAGGAACTGAACTTACAAATGGGGAGAAGTTTGTTATCCTGAAGGCAAGTTTAGTTTCAAATCTTCTACATCTAGGAGTGAAAAGATAGCTGTGAGATGGGTTCTCGAAGCTTCCTAAAACTCGTCCATCCCTTGAGGTAGGGCTGCATTCCGACAAGCAAAAGAAGCCAAGTAGATTTTTGTTGTTATTGTTGTTGTTAGAGTAATCTGATGGGAGGTATTTATATCCTGTCCTCTCATTGGCCTTCTAGTCCTTTCAAGCAGGAGGACTCTGAAGGACTGGGATACACATCAAGTATGCAGAGAGTTCTGTTATAACTGGGATTTTAGAGCACAGGATTTGTGAGAACAACCCTCTGTTCCAGGCAGCTGCACACACTGAAGAACTGTGAGATCTCTCAGGATTGACAGAACTTTTCAATATTTAGTTTCTGCCTGTTTCGGAGGATGGACTCATGGGCTGAGTTTGGAGAACATGGACAGGTTATTGACTTCATGGAAAACTGAGGTGTAGAAGAAGTATTGGTCCATGAGTTCATATCACCTCTTGGGGGTGTAGTAGTGTAATATTATATATAAAATATTATATATATATACACATATATATATTATTGTTAGTGTTCCTAAAGAATTGAAGTTGAGGGTTGACTGACCTTTCCAGGGAGAAGGCAAACACAGTGGCTATTGTAAAAAGGACACATATTTTCACATCCATCTTATATGCTCATCCTAGTTGTCCCTAGAAATGGTGTGTGAGGTTATAAGAGCAAGGAAGAAAGTGATCCACTGTAGGGAAGCAAGTTAAGCTCATGATGCCTTTTATCAAGAACTGAATTGGGTAATGTGTGACCGTCTGACATTTGTGTTGTCCAATCATTAGTTCTGAAGGACAGTCACATCCTCTTACATGTTTGAGTGTCAGGACAAAACTGGACAGTAGTGCAGAACAGGAGGGTGTATCAAGTGTAAGGGTCAGGTTGTAGTGAGGTAGGGGATCCAGAAGGATCCTGAGGAGCCATGAGAAGCCCAGGTTTAGGTATTCCTGTCTGGCCACAACCAACTTACTCCAAGATCCTCCCTTGTTCTGAAAAAAAAAAGTATTTAGAGGATCCCAGAGAGGCAAGTGCTCATCTCTGCAGGATAAGTAAGCTGTGAGTGAGAACAACGTAGGGACTCCAGAAGAAAAGGGAAACACAGTCTGCACTAGAGTGTTCCATGTAGAAGCCTTTGGTGAGCAATGGAAGATGAGTCAGAAAACACAGGAAGTCACTGTTAGTACAGGAATGGATGGAGGACAGGAGACCTTGTCTCAATCAGTAATTCAATCAACAATCAATCAATGGAAAGAGAGAGAAAGAGAGAGAGAGAGAGAGAGAGAGAGAGAGAGAGAGAGAGAGAGAGAGAGAAGGGTGGGATTACACAGCACAAGGCAGGCTGCACAGTAGGAGTCATCCCCAGAGTGATCCTGCTACCTTGAGAAGAACTCAGTAATGAAATGGTCCATCTATTCCATGTTGTTCAGTGAGCACATCTCCATGGAAAGAAGTGTGGATAATCTGGGGCTTGACTAAGGCCTGCAGTGAAAAGGATAGTGGGAAACTTCCAGGTCCCTCTCCTAGAAGGTGAAATTATCCTATTCTTGATAAACCAGAATCTTAACTGAGTGTTCCATCCTCCAGTGTTAATGTCACCTATGTGTCAGAGGAGTTCAGGAGTCTAGAATGGAAAGTGTGAAATAATTCTGAATCCTGGTAAAGCTGTCCAGAATATTAGGACACTGATCACTTGCTCAGGATAGTGCGACAATCTTTGGATACATTTCTCAGAGGAGTCAGCTGAGGCAGAAATGAGTAGGAAGGAGCCATTCCTGCTTAGGAGGCTGGGGGAGGCACTGGGAAGGTGACAGTTAGTTTTGTTTCTATTTTTCTTGGTGGGGGCCAAACTCCAAAGCTGAAACAGTTCTTGCATTGCTCTCATTCCAGAACCCACTACGATTTATCCACATCAGACAACAGCTGAGGTGACAGAAACCCCATCCTACACTCTTGCAGGTAACTAAGTTCTCCTCCCTTATCCCCTTGGAAGGTCCAGATCTAGATGAAGCTGGTCAAGAATAGGCACCCTCTGCAACAATACAGATCTGACATTGTATGTGGCGGCAGGGACAGAGACACAGCTCCATTCTAACTCCCCCTGCCCCAGCATCCTCAAATGGCACCTTCCGACAAGCTCCTCCATTCAGGCCAAACAAGGCTGTGTGGCTTCTCAGAAGAAAAGAGTATCAGGGGCAGTCAATGGCAGGGAGTGTTGAAGATATTTAACTCAGATCCTAAGCACCTGGTCATTGCAAAGAGAGATGCTTAGCAAAGGTATAGGGCACACTGAGACACACGTATGGACTTCTCCATGCAGAGCACTTAGGTTTCTTTACATTGAGTATACATGTGATGTGGTGGCTCTCAAGTCGGAACTCTGGAATTTCTAGGGATTGCCCCATCCCTCCTGTTGCTGTTTATTTGGAAACAATGCTTCAAAATTTATTTATAGTTAAATAATATTCTTCCATAAACAATACTGTGATGTAGATTTCAGAGGGATATTTGTTTATATTCAGGAATGGGAGAGAAGGCCTAGAAACAGGAGTATCTATATCATTTGACCCCCAACAAGTGTGATTTGCTTGTTGCTTATGCCAACTTGGTTTGAGATGTCTGTGAAGAGCACAGATTGCCAAGGTTGGGAATTCTGTCTTTTATCAGTGTTTCCCAAAAGTACCTCGACTTTGTCAACAGAATAAGCAATACAGCCACCCTCCTGTTCATCCTGGAACAATGAACCACTTCCTTTCCCCATGCTGCAGGCTTCCTTTCTGTGGCTCATTGATTACTCCTGCCTTTCTATCCTGTTGCTGTCTTGGCGTTATAACAGTTGTGTGACTATAGAGATGTCTACTCTCTTGAAACTGTTCTATATTTATTCAATGAACATAACACCACTTTTTTAAAATGTAAAATCAGTTTATTGTAATCAGTTTTACAGAACATTGCGGTTGTGAAGTGTGATAAGGGGCTTGGGTCATATCTGCCAAGGGGGTAAGCCATAGATACGACGACAGCTACACTGATAGGCATAGTGCCTGGAGGACTGGCAGCGGGTAGCTGTAGATGGATTTTCCTTTGGGCTGCCAGCTCACAAAAAAATGGCACAGAGACTTATTATTAGTTACGAAAGCCTGGCCTTAGCTTAGACTTGTTCCTAACTAGTTCTTATAACTTAAATTAACCCCTATCTTTTAATCTCCTTCTGTTTTTATGTGGCTCAGTTACCTCTACTCTGTACTCTCATCCTGCTTCCTCTCAGTCGGGCTGGCAACTCTGCTTTTCTTCCTCTCTGAGTCCTCTTTCTCCTGAGAAGTCCCACCTAACTTCTTCCTGCCTAGCTATTGGTCATTCCACTCTTTATTAAACCAATCACAGTGACACATCTTCACATAGTGTCACGGAATATTCTGCAACAGGTAGCTGCTATGACTTGGGAACATCTACATTCATGTGCCTCTTTTACAAAGCAAATGACTCAGTTTGATTCCCAAGCTCATCACTGGGCTTGGTTCTTTGGGACTTAAACTAGTGAACCCAGCTTCTTGATGTCTACACTAACCTTGTCCCTTATACTTTCTCCATTGTAGCAGAGTCTCCTCTTCTGCCTTGTCAATCTTAGGTCACATGGGATGTCTGAGGTTGCACTGTGGTCTGAATGTTTGTGTCCCCATAAATTCCTTTGGTAATGTTTAACCCTCAATACAGTAGATTAAGCACTGAGGTCATCAGGAAGGTGATTAGATTATAAAAGTAAGAAGTTTCTGCACAGTGTTAGATCCTTGTAAGAGGGCTGTTGGGGCTGCTTTTCCCTTTCTTTCACTTGGGGACACACAAAAAGTATCATCTATGAATAGAGGAGTCTCCGCAACTGCCCAGTCAGCTTGTGTCTGGATTTGGGACTTCCCAGCCTTTAGAACTATGACCAATGCATTTCTTTTGTTTCTCATTTACTCACTCTAAGTAATTTTGTTATAGCAACCTGAATGGACCAAGTTGGATTGATCATATCAGCAGCAACACTAAAATAGTCTTGCAGCACTGAGACCCTAATTCTCACTCCCTCAGGCCCCACCCTCCACACTCTGGTTGGGTCCTATACTACTTCTTGTCCTTCAGACTATAGTGGCATGTCTTGCTTAATCAACTATGGTGATGTTGAACTCTGCAATCTTTCTCAGCCAGCTCTGTACTATCAATCATGGTAAGCTGAGACTGCCACATGCTGGCCTCTGTGGTTTAGAGCAGGTTCCTGTGTCCTTGAGGCTCATCCAAACAAGGCTGGGCCTTGCAGGTCTCTGAATGAATGTCTGTGCACGAGTGTGCATGTCTGTGTATGCGTGTGACTCAATATTCTCAGGAGCTGTTTATCTGTGTTTTCCTCGTCCCCATGTGGCCTACTTTTTCCTAGGCTTTCCTGGACATTAGTTAATTTAAAATCATATGCAGTGAACCCACAGAGTCAGGAGGGATTAGATAATTGTGACCTTTGTATGTTGAGAGGGAAATCCTCAGTGTGAACTGTTTCCAGGTAGAAAAACAAAAAGAAAACAGATACAAACACAAGGCAGCAGGAGCTGCTGTCTGCTGCTGTCCTCTTCTGTGAAGAAGAAGGAAGGAGGGGTTCAGTGTTTGTAATGCCATGTCACCTAACCCTGGTCAGAGGGGAGCTTTCCAGAGTGGAGCAGGGACTGCAGTACCTGTGTCCCTGGTATGCTTGTGACTTCTGGCACTTGGCCCTTGTAACTTGAGGCTCCTGGGCTTAGTTCTTCCTGGCTCATGGCACCCATTTCTTGATGAACATTTTGCAAAAGCAAGAAATGTTTAGACTGAAAGGGATTTGGGTGTCACATGGGCCACCACCTGCCTTTGATAGCTGTGCCTGCCAGGAATCTTACACACCATCCCAATTCATTATTTCATGGCAATTTATGTCACTGCTAGATTGAGGAAACTCTTTAATTCCTCTTTAGAGACACACACCTTGCAAATTATTCCCCAATTCTAGGTACACTTCTTTTGACAAGTTGTTGAATGCTCCTCATTAGATAAACCGTATGATATTTCTAAAGTGAATTCGACAGTATTCCCCCTCCTGCTCCCTCTTCCTTCCATCACATAATAATAATATCACCAATGTTTCCAACAGTGTTGAGTGCTCATGCATGTATTCCTCAGTCCTTATGGGCAGGACCTTGATGATGAAGGTCACTTTGCTAATAAATATAGACCGAATTGAATTTAAATTTTATGTGATTTAGCCTTATCTTACTGAATCACTTCCTCCTATTCCTAGAAGGTTTTACTTAAGAACTTAAGTTAAAAACAGAGCCCAGACCGTAGATGTTACCTAAACTTAGCCATTGCTTTTCACTCCTTGTAGGGGCTTTCATAGAGTAAAATGTAAACATAGTAATGTGAAAATGAGGAAAGCTTTGAGTCATTCAAATTTATTCATGCTGGGCAATGTCAGCGTTGGCAATTAGAAGGGACTTCCAAGGACCTGTAGTGTTCCCATTCATTGTGTTCCCACTCATTGTGTGTACATTGCCAGCAGAGATGTCTGTCATTTGCTAAAAGTAGAAATATGGAGGCATCTGATGTCTGCTGCTTCATCTGTAAAATGCAGTGAAGGGGCTCCTTGTCAGGATGTTACAAACCTTGTGTATGTCTGATATAGGGTTCTGTGTTTCATACATAGACACAGAGAAACAATGAAAACAATAGATTCCTTGTTATAAAATAGACATTTCAAATGCACTTCAAATATATGATGTTCAAAACATGCTGTTCAGGGTGTCTCTGCCATATTCAATCCTAACCCTCACATATTATAAGACACCTTGGCCTTGTGGGTAATATTTACAGATGTAGAATAAGATCTAAATTCTTGTAATTATAATTAATTCTTCCTCTTATTGAGCAGATTGGAATTACACTGTGACATCCTCACATGAGTTTTACAGTAATTACACTGTAAGTATATTCCTCCCCAATTTATTAGCCATGTTCACTTGTATATAATCTGGGAAACAATCTGTATTTAAAGATTTTGTGTGTAAGATTAGTTCACAGGTATTTGTGTCAAAAAAGAAGAAGAGGAAAAGAAAAAGAGTCAGATATAGTGGTATATTCCTCATTCTTAGGACTCGGGAACTTAAAACAAATATCAGAAGATTGAGGCCAGCCTGGACCATTAGGCCACTTGGGCTACATAGAGAGAGACCCTAACACTAAAACTATAGATAAATAAACTCATAAACGTATAAAAATAAAGAAATTAAAAGGAAGATATGATGTTTAAAAGGGTGTTTGAATTCAAGATGTTCGTTTACAGTCTCCTAATATTGTTTTTCTACCCAGTGACCATTTTTTGTAGAACCCACTGGTGATATTTTTTTCCACACACAAACCTCCACATAAGATATTAAGGCCTTAGACATTATTAATTCTGCATGATTTTTCCTAGACTTTCTGTATACTAAGCTTGAGGAAAAAATCTAAGGTCGTCTGCTTCCAATATTCTTGCCAGAGTTCTATCCTACAAACAGCAGAGGGAAATCTTCAATAGGATTTTTCACTTTTGTCTCCAGGAAGAAGCAAGGTTTGTCTTAGTATGTGTAATTAGTGCAGTAGAAATGGTAGGTAAGGTAAGAAAAAAGCCAGATAAGGGGTTGAGAGCTCTTGTTAGCATGTGCAAGGAAGACCCTGGGTTTGAACTGCCCAAAACCACCCAGCAACAATAAAACCTCAAGACAATGTGGAAATATCTACATAAGGCCAAATGGCCTAATCAATGCTTTTATACCTATTGACAGTCAGAACATAACACATCCTTCATAGCTGAGTATATCCCTGAACTCCTGACCCCCTGTCTTTCAGGAGCTGAAATAAGAGGAGTGAATCCCACCATAACTGTGCCCCTCCTTTGAGACATCATTTTATTTCATGGCTCTGGACAACCTAGAACTCACAATCTTCCTGTCTCAGCCTACTGAGCACTGGGATTACAGGCCTGTGTCACATGCCCAGCTTCACACTAAAAAAGTAACAACCTAATTGATATTAGTACCCAGTGGTTTGGAAGATATGGAAAGAATCTGTACATGCTAGTTAAATATCCAAAACAATTAAGTACATGTTTCTAAGAGCAGAGTTCTGGTTACATACAAAACAAAACAGCACGGCATGTCAAAGTTATTCTTGCCCTCAGTTACCTGAGAAACAGTCATGCTTAGCAGCACGAAGGAATAATTTGAAGTTAAATTCAAAATAAGTCATAGCAGAATCTGGACTCTTAAGATGTCAAGCTGTCCCCTAGGTGCATTGAAGACAATGTACAGCAGCACAGTTTTCTTTTCAGGGTGTTTGTTTCTTTGAGACAGAATCCCATGGAGCTCAGGCTGACTTTGAAGAGGCTATGTACCCAGGAAGGCTCTGGAACTCCTGACCCTCCTGCTTCCATTTCTCCAGTCCTGGGACTAAGGTGTACACACCCATGACTATCACTTGTAGCATATGTCTTGAACCAATATATCAACTTCCTGGACTCTGTTTAGTAAAAAAGTTGAACAAAATTTGTTAAGAATAATAAGAAAGGATAAGTACAGCTGCCATTCATAATCAAGAAAATGTTATGAAGTAAATGTTCATGTGGGTACCATGGATACACACAATCTAAGCACTCAGGAGGTATAGGAAGGAGCATCAGAGGTTCAAGTTCATTGTCAACTAATGAGATTCAGGCCAGCCTAGGACCAGAAGTCCCTGTCAGAATAACAAACAAACCTTATTTTCTTCTATAATCTCTACAGTATTGTCAAGAATAAGTGAAAATCCCTCTCCTGGGAACCCTACTGAACACATTGTTTGAGGACATAGAGAGAGAGCTCATAGAGCTTAATTAACTTGACCATGGTCTCCCTGAATAGGCAGAGGAACTGGGTTTTGTGACTCCAGAGATGAGGCTCACACACCAGCAAAGACCTGGTCTCTGATCTTCCCTTTCCTTGCTGTTAATCCATCCCATGGGCTCTGTTTAGAGTTGGTAGATTAGTGCTAAGCTATTAGAGGGGCCTCACCTGCCATCAGCCTGTCTCCACTTATTCCAGTATGTGCTGATCCCTGATCACTTGCACCAGGGCACTAGGGGGGATTTTGCATTTCTGGCTGATCATATGGTGTTAATCAGGCTGCATCGGGGAAAAGAGTCTTCCTAATATTTTTAGAAAGTGGTTAGATATAATTGTATGGTTTCTTTTTTCTAACCCCCTCCAAACCCTTCCACATACCCTATCCTTGCTCCTTGCTTTATTTCTAATTCATGGTCGCTATTCCTTTCATTATTTATATATATAATATATTAACACATAGAATATGTAACTTATAACATCTGTAATATGTTAATATATAATTATTAACATATACACCTCAACTGTATATGATGTTTTATTTACATATTTACACTTAATACATATATGGATTCCAAAAACATTAATATAACCTGGCTAGTCTATATACTATTTCTGTGTACATGTTTCCATGCTGACCATTTGGTATTACATGTTTATAAAGACATGGAGTCCTGAGTTGCATTTACATGACAAGTAGGGTCTGTGATGGAAGACCAGACCAGGAGCTAAGCACACTGAGAGCAAATGAACTTAGAGAAGGGCTACTCTTTTTTTCTCTTTTAATATCATGGGATGGTTTACGGAATTTAGGGAATACTCTACTGACTATTAAAGCAGACATAATCACATACATGATGCATGAACCTACATTAAGCATGAGGTTAGAATTTTGACTGAGGTATCCACCCATGTAATCACCTCAAGCACCATAGAACATGTTTCCATCATCATCAAAGACACTGAATTCACACTGTCTTGGAGGTGCACTGCCTGTTACCACCTCAGATCCTTGGGTCTTCCTCATATTCCAGACTAGCCACAGGCCTGGAGAGAGGAAGCTCTAGGAATTAGAGTCTAGGTTAAGGTCAAGCACGCGTTTTCTGTTCCTTGCTGCCCCTGTGTTTATTGTTGTTTATTTATTGCTACTGTTGTTTTATTTATTGTTTCCTTAGGAATCAATCCTCTCACAGGAGTGGCAGAAGAACATGACTAATGGCTTCTATGTGGGCATCTCCATGGTTGCCCTGCTGCTGCTGTGTGTGTGCTTCCTGGCTGTCACCAGTAAGTAATTTCACAACTGTCCCCAAAGAAGGAGAGCCAGGGTTCTCTGACTGTCTTTAGCAAGTGCACATGTCACTGGAGCTTTGAGTTCACATGGCTTCCATATCCCCAGTTCAAAGACACATATGGTAGCCCATGTACTCCCCAAGGGATGTGTTAGGACCCACAAAACTCTGCAGGTGATTTCTGGTTCCTGGTGGGTGCTCTGTTCAGTGATCTTGAACCATTGCTGCTATGTCTCCAAAGATTCCTATTCTGTAAAACTTGGCCTCATGTCGTCCATACTGGTACTGACACTACAAGGTAGCTGAGGATGACCTTCCACTCCAGATCCTCCTGCCTCCAGCATCCAAGGGCTGGGCTCATGGGGATAGGCTGCAGTGCTTTCCTGCACTGTTCCCAACTCTGTCCTCTGTCTTTCAGTTGTTGCCATCGGAAGGGAAACATTATGGTTTCCATAAAATAAATTAAATACGCTGACACGAGTTTATGGATAGGCTTGAAATTTTTTAGGTTACTGTAAGAACTTTGATGTTTTCTCTCCTTTCCTGCCCTTGGGAATCTCACTTGTTTCCCACGATTACACTGTTGAATATTCTGGAACATAGTAGAAAAGGCAATTGAGACATTGGTGGGAAGCCCCCTGACTAATGCTGAACAGACTATTTGAAGGTGACACCCAGGCCTACGTGGCCCTCTCCATGAGTTGTTCATGTGTACACAGTGTTTCTCTCTGTGTAGTCCATTCCCTGTGTAAGAACTTCAGCCATGGACATTACAGAACACTATGCCTGAGCCCATCACAGACCCGTTTTACAGGAAGTGGGGAATAAGAATATGCCGGTCAGATTTCAGATGTTTCCCTTCATTATTTAAAGCTGTTCATCCTAAATAATTATTTAAGGTGGATCTAGTGTCGTGTGTTTATAATACCAGCATTTACAAGTCTGTGGCTAGCCTGGGCTACATATCAGAGCATGTCTAAAAGGGAGAATTACGTTGTAAGGGAGTAAAATTCCACAAATGTGTTCCCTTCCTTAGTCCAAAGTTGTTTATCCTTCCCTTACTGGCTTGTTCTCTAGCAGCCCATTAGAAAGAATCCAGACTCTTTGTTTGTCTCAGTGAACAATAATTTACCAATCTCATTCTATCAAATTAGGCCATGTGGATAAATATCTCAGAATATGAATGGAAAGGATCTCCTTCCTGTGGGGTACAGGAAAGAATTACCCAAAGTTACCAGGGCATGGTTCAATCAAAAACAGAAACAATATCCTTGATTAGGAGAAAATATCATGAGTGTTTCTGATAACATGTTCAATTTTCCTTTCAATTTATCCTACCTCTGCCCATTCCAATTTAGGGTACATCCTTATGAAAAAGAATTCGAGGTCTCTAAGGTAAGCTGGCATGGATAGTGTTGATTCCTTTCGAACTTACAATCTTAAGAATGTCTCTCTATTGTCTCTTTTGCTACTAAGTCATTCTTTACTCTTTGATTCATTGATTGGTTGGTTGATTTGAGGCATGGTCTTATTATGTGGTTCAGACAGGCCTGGAACTCAAAACACTCTTACCTCAGACTCTTTTGTGCTGGGATTAAAGGGTGTTCCACAATGCTTGGGCTCTGTTCTGTACATTGGATCCCCAAAAATCTTTAATGAGTCCCTTTCTTGTTGCCCTCATTTCTCAGAGATATTTTCTGCATTCTGTATTTCCTGCATTTACGGTAGGACAGGAACAGAAGGCCCTTGATCCTCATCTCCTATAGGTAGTCACTGAGGTGTAAGTTTTGCTTCCTGGAGCTGGTGTTGAAGGAGTTGATTTGATCCACTCTTGTTTCCTCAGGGTTTTCTTTCACTGAGTTCCTGTGGTGGTATTGTGTTCACCAAAATATCGTGTACCTTAATAAACTTACCTGGGGTCAGAGAATAGACAAGCCACTAGTTAGTCAGTGATAGCACACGCCTTTAATCCTAGCATTCCAGAGATAGAAATCCCTCTGGATCTCTGTGAGTTCAAGGCCACATTGGAAATAGACAAGCATGGT